AACTGCTTTAACTTTATTTTTAAAGAAAACATCCCATGAACTTTTTCAAAGCAGTTATTTGCATCAACTGCTAAACCATCAATATTATTTCCTGAAAAAAAAAATGTATCATCAGCATAAATTACAAAAGGCAGTTGGTTACCTGTGGTATTGACAATATCATTTATAAATTAAATTATTTAGAAATATACATTTATTTCATTTACTAAAAAGATTATAAATTATAATTTATAAATTAAATTATTAAATAGCAGTGGACCTAAAACACTGCTTTGGAGTACCTCTGTCCAAACTGGTTTTAGCATAAAGGAATGACCGCTTATTTCTACAGTTTACTGCCAGAAACTCAAACGGCTTGCAACCAGAGCTAAGGAGTGCCCTCTAATTCCATAAGAATTTGGTTTTTATAGCAGGATATTATGGTTCAAATGGTCGAAGGCTTTCGAAAAATGAATAAAAACTATCAACACTGAACATTTATCTTCTATATTCTTTAAGAGATCTTTGTTTTGCTTTAATAAGGTAATTTTTGTAACCATATTCAGTATCAGTCAGTATTGTATGTTTTTTGCCGACATTATGAGGGTTATCTTGGACAGCGGGTCAAATTTCGTGAAAACTTTAGGTGAGTCTGTCTTACTTTTTTTTTAGATTGTATTCATTAGCACAAACAATTCGCAGAAGCAGCTACAACGATCAGGGCCCACTGCAGAATCTATGTACCTCGGCCAAATGTTACAAGGTGGAACTCTACCTTCAAGGCCATGGATGCTATCAACACGTTTTTAGAAAAGGGAACAGACGTAGATGGTCCTCTTCTGCAAGCTAGGAATTTTTAGGCTGCTGCCACCTCATGAGCCTATGTAACTTCATCAAGAAGTATTGCAGGGTATGACCAATCTAGGTAGTTGTCATGACTTCCTTGGTACAACATCCGACATTTCATTAGAGGTCATGAAACCCTTAATGTCCTGCAAAGTGACAACTACATTCACTGTGGGTATCTGCTTCCGACGCTGGACGTTCTTATCAAGAAGATTGAGTATGAGCAGGTTCCTGGATTCCACTGCTACAGACCACAAGCCGAGACTCTTTTGGCCGGAATTCACAAAAGGTACCTTTGACAAGTGTAAATCGCAGAAATTGCTTAAGAGCACCATGAAATGTAATATATATCGCGAGAGCCAAACGGGTAAAACCATCAATTGAGCGACCTTATGATCTATGTGTCCTGCACAGTAGCATGTTTCAAAACCTGTGGCATGTGACTTCCGTTGTCCACTGCACGTGATCGACAAGACGAATCGTTGCCTTTACTCATCGGTGTTTCTTATCACCGCATGCACAGAGATCTCTGCCAAGATTGGACTTGTCTCCCTTCGCCACGCTCATCTTGGGCACGGGGAATCGCTCCCCAGAGAGTGGCGTGCCTTGCCGGGTTGAACATATGAACACTCGTTTGCCGTCGACTCACAAAAGTGACGGAGCCCGATAAAAATACTCCAGACTATACAGGTTCATTGCCGCCATCAGTACGGTAAAGTTTAAACTGCTATTTGAGCCGCCAGATGGCACTGAATACCTGAAAGGGTCTATTCTGCCACCTTAATATGTAAACCCACAGTCCGGACTATGGACAGCTATTTTGGGGACGAATTGGATAAATACAGGTATTTTTGTCTCATCATTATGAATGCCAGTGCCCCAAGTTTAAAAAAAGAAAAGGTCCAAAAACGCTCCCAGGATATCAGTGAACCCAAGAGGTCGCAGTGTGCACCCGGATGTTCGTTGCTGGTCTTACAATAAAAACTCCGCACCAAAAAAAATTTTTTTTTTTTTGTGTAAATTGGGTTATTATTGCTTGCAGTCTATTGTTGCTTGAGACCTAAAACCGGGAACCAAAAAAAATGAGCCCTAAAAGCAAAGGCACCTCACTGTAGACCTTGTAGCTGTTTGGGGAAACTTGGAAGGCAGAGTAGACGATACCAGGGGAGAGGTGGAAGTGATCAGAGACCATGGCGAGTGTCAAACGTAAACGAATGGAGCTTCCTGCTCAACTTAAAAAATATTTTTTTTAGTTGAGCAGGAAAAAATGAAAAAAGAAACTCGAAGAAAACTGTGCGCTGACAACAGCAGCAGGGTGAAAGCGCACTTCAAGTAGCGGATTTGTTGCACTTACTGGACACAAAAGTAGACTTGAAAGTATCACTACAAACCCACATCTTGTCCTCTTTTAGCTCAATAAACCATGTATACCTTGTTGTTGCTATGCTAGCTAACATACGCGTTTTGACCCTGATTTGTTATTATGGACGACTGACACTATGGACAATTTTTCTGGGAATGGAGTGAGATATACAGCCATGTCTCGCATGTGAGCGAGACATGACTGTATATACCGTATTTATTCGCACAATGAACGCACCCCCCAAGTCGGCTCTCAAAATTACGACTTTTTTTTTCACTCGCGTATTAAACGCACCCCCAAATCGGAGGTCGAAATTTTGACCCACTCCCCCCACGCGCGCGAAATGAACACACTTTTTTATCCTGGTGCAGCGAGGTCGCGAATGCATGGGCAGCGTGGGCGAACAAAACGCCTTGCAAAAGGCATTAAAAGAATTCGAAAAGATCCAACGGAAGCAAGAAGAAAAGAAACAAAAAAAGGAGCTTTTTTATTATTATTATTTTTTTTTTTTTTTTTTTGCACAGCGCAGTTTGGATTTAGGGGGGTCGCGCGCAAGGAGGTAAGAAAGAGAAGCAGAGAAGCCTTCTAATCGAACGAAACAGCTCGCGAAAGGCGGCAAAAAGAAAAAAAAAAACAAAAAACACGGAATTAAGAGAAGAAAAAAAAAAACTTCTTTTTCTCCTTTTTTTTTTTTTTTTTTTGCACATCTCAGTTTGGTTACAGGGGGTCGCGCGTCGCGCGCAAGGAGGTAAGAAAGAGAAGCGGAGAAGCCCTCTAAGATCTAAGCGAACGAAACAGCTTGCGAAAAACGGCAAAAAGGAAAAAAAAAAAAAACAAAAAAAAAACACGAAACTAAGAGAAAAAAACAAAACAAAGAAAAGCTTTTTTTTTTCCTTCTTTTTTTTTTACAGCGCAGTTTGTTTACGGGGGGTCGTGCGTCGCGCGCAGAGATAAGAAAGATAAGTGGAGAAGCCCTCACCTAAGCAACACCTTAGTCAACAAAACAGCTTGGGAAAGGCGGCAAAAAAAAAAAAAAGAACCCAAAAAAACCAAGGAACTAAGAGAAAAAGAAAACAAAAAGGAGCTTTTTTTTTTCTTTTTTTTTTTCACAGCTTAGTTTGGTTACAGGGTCGCGCGCCGCGCGCGAAGAGATAAGAAGTTATGTCGATTTTTCAGGATAAAAGGTCCGTTCATTATGCGAGTAAATATGTACGCAAAAATTTTACTTCGCGTAATGAACGCCCCCCCCCCCCCCCCCCCCCAAGTTTACATCGATTTTTCGGAAAAAAAAGTGCGTTCATTCTGGGAGTAAATACGGTATACATTTCATAAGCCCAGCGTACCTTCCTGTAAAATTTAGTACACACCCCAGAAACTTCTTCCAGAAAATAGAGCTCACCAAAAAACAAGGGCACATGCCCAGCCACTTGTCATCAGATATTAAACTAATTCTACTGTACCGTAGTGAAGACTGACAAATTTCTGTGGGCACAAAAAATATAGTATTGTATAATTTTTTATTATTTTTATTAGTTCTAGTAGTAATATTAGGATTACAAATACCTATTTGGGATGGTTTTTCCTACCAATATAAGATATTGCAGTAGCAGTAGTTTTTTCCTACCAATATAAGATATTTACTCAGTTGGGGACTGTACTTTAGTGGAAGAGATAAAATGAAAGCACCAATAGTATGCGTCAAAATGCTCCAAGCGGTTTTGTTTGATATATCAAGGTGTGCACCGACGTGAAGGAATTATCTATACCCCTTCACATTGCGGTGAACTATAGTCAGAAATACAAACAGCAATTTCCCATCACGAGCCAGTTAGAGACCGGGCGGTACATTGCCATGGCGTCCGTATGAATGCGCCACTCTTAGGCGTATATCAGAGCGATACCAAATGGTTTTCTGACTGGCCTGTGATCCAACCCGGTGGCTCATAGCTGAAACTGTAGTCTATCATAGGTCGAAAGGAAGCATAAGTAACTATAAAATGGTCAAGCAAGTCAGCAACCTCGAAGATTGCCAGTCCTATTTAAAAAACGGTAGCAGCCGCACAGAATTGGCTGGTTAAAGAGAGCGACGGCATGACGTAACGCTTATACTCGACATCAGCTATTTTGTGCTATACTGTCAAGGCTATCGTAGCTTCCACAGTGCTGCGGTTACGCACTGCTGCGAGAGCACGTGGCTTTGTCTTGCGTCGAACTCGCTCGTGCAGCTAGCTTTGAGAGAACTGAAGCATAGCCGAAGCTACGCTGGCCTTGGTATGTGGCACAAAATAGTTGACGTCGAGTATAGCAACCAAAATGCAGTGGGGGACAGCGGGGCTGGGCGTATTTGGGCCGCCGCGGGGCGGCATGTAAGGGTGGCACAAGGTGGGTTAATATTTTGTAATGAGCCATCAGCATACTGTCACTGCGAAGCAGCGTGAAGGGGGAGGGGGGTTAACACGACCCCAGTGACACCACCACTGCGTGGCTCGAAATTGGCGAAGGGGGAAGTCGCCGGCGATCTTTGGTCGCCAGGTGTTGTCACAGCGTTGCTCCCTATAACCAGCCAATCCAATGCGGCCTCCGTTGTTATGCGTTCTATTGCCACTGCCATCTGTCGGCGGCGCTCCAAACCAGTCCAAAGTCAGCGCATGTACCACGGCACTAATGCTAACGCATCAAGAAGAGTTGAGCTTCTGTTCGGGTCGGCCATAAAAGGGTGAGCCTTCACCCGTTTAAGAGGCATAGTATGTGTGTATGGTAGCCTGTGATTTGCATAACTATGCTAAAAATGATTAGAATGAAAGTAAATCACCTCAAGGTCAGGCCTTCATCTGGCAGGATGGCAGTTTCTTTGGGGAAACAAGGTGCGGCTTCCTGCAGAAGAAAAGCGGGGGATAACATAACCACATGTTTCATGACCTAAGGCTTATTGCAAAGACAGAAAATGCAAAAAGATCTCACTTATGTACTGGGGCAATCCTACATTCAAACTCCAGAAAGCAATATGATTGAAAAGATAAAATAAATCAACAAGAAATGAACAAGTCAAAACTGGTAATTATTGGTGAACGTTCCACAAGTTACTTGCCATTGTAGAAGCTGTACTAATTAATAATACATTTATCTCTTTGTTTTATTAGCTCCTCCCCTAAGCCGATAAAAGATCCTTTTGTCTGTTGCTTCCACAGCTGTAAAAGTTACGGTACTCCAGACTGTACCTAAGATAGTTACAGCAACAGATGCCGAACTGCAATAAAGTCTAGACATTCATTTTTTTAATTTGCCTAGATATATTATGTACACTCCGCGACACCGTCAGTGCAAACAAGCCCATTGCCGGTATTTTCTGTTTTTCTCTCAGTATTTAAAGACTGTCATCAAAACTACTATGGTGGTGGAAAGTACTCTGTTGCGTTACTAACCTAAGTGGCAAAGTTTGATGGCCGCCAGTATCCTTTCAAGATGAAATCTGAAAAAATGCATGTCATTTTTGCACTAACAATGTCGCGTAGTGAACAGTTACTTCAAAAGTACTTCAATTGTTTGACTCTTCAAACATCCTATATAAAAGAAATGAATAAGGAATAATTTCACAATTGATGTGTGGCTGATGTGAAGATCCACTTTGACTGGGAAGAATTACGATGAACACTTTACTCATTTAATGAATGTAATTACTAGTCAACTTTACTCAGTGCTCAAATCTTTCTAATTACATTACATACCCTTAAACCTTCCAGAGAGATAACTACAAAATGCACATCATAAAATACAATCTCAAATATCATTTACGATGTTGCTACGTCCTAGATGTGCGAAATACCCATGCCATTGTGTCCGACACTCCACTTTGAACTGAGTAAATGTTTTATGTTGAAAAAATACCTGCTTTAGAGCTTTCTTCTGTAAGTATGACCCCTTCCTCACTTTGAGCAAGATTCCAGGATAGTACATGTGTACAAAAAAGTAACTAGAGACAACTACACATTACTGGCAAGTATATAAAGATACAGTTCAGCATGCAATGCTACAATAACTGCCTCAAAAACCATCACACACTTTCCAAGATTAGAGGACTACTAACCATCCCACTAAATTTGGCGTCACAGAAATGTCTTCGGAACTGCTATGTTTCCCCCCAAATTTAGCGGATGGTGGTATGGTGGTCACCATGAAGGCCCGTTCACACTCTTGCAACCTCTTCAAACTGTTCCTTGAAACCTCTTACAACGAGAGGACACACTGGCGCCATCTATTGGGTAGCAGTGTAAACTTGGCGGACCGGCATATTTTCTATTTCTCTCGCGCATTATCCTTTCTTTCTTGGCTCAAAAAACTTTTGTCAATGTTATAAATAGGGTTCCGGGTTTTCGGTTTCTATTTTTTCAAAATTCAGCATACTTTTTTCAGTGTTTATTTTAAAATTGATTTTTTTTTTTTTTTTTCGCCGAATATTTATGCCCACAAAAGTTTGTCGGCTTTTTTTCGGTGAATTTAAAATAAATACCAACGGACACCGGATCAGATGATCCTTGTAGTTCTGATATTTGTGATCATTCAAAGAATAACGGCACAGATATATTGAAAAAGAAATGGACACTTTATTTGGCAAATGTGTGCAACTGTAAAAGAAACAAGAAAAAAAAAACACAGTACAAACAAGTCAGATATGAAGCCTATGCCCAAAAAACATGGAACTTCGCCTTCTATACGTCAAAATTACGTTATCTTATTATGGTACACACACATGTACTTTCAGAGGTTCTCCTCGTTGACCCACAGTCTTTCTTTCCGGTTAATATGACTGAGCTTCGAAAATGCCCTCTCAACGCTAACACTGGACACTGACAGGCTGAGGAGATGAAGCGCTGCCTGAGCCGAAATCGGCCAATCAACCAATTGTGACCGCCAAAAGGGACACGGTGCGACGTGTTGAAGCACAATACAACATGCAGAGCTTGCATAAAGTCAGTCTTCCTTACAACGAGTTTGAAAACACGCTTGTACATGGCAAAGTCATGGGGCATTTCCGACTTCACGTTCCGATCGATGATGCGCACATTAAACCAAAACGTCGTGATGGCATCCGTGTATCCCATACATTGGGATACGTCTCGATAGACACTGTCGTTCCACTTTTTTGCCATGGCTCTGCGGTACGACTTGACGGTCAAAGTGACCTTTTCCGGTTAAAACTTAATTTGAGAAAATGGATTCGACGTGCTTTTATCGGTTTAAATTGAAAATGCCAAACCTAGAAAATGACCTTTTTCGATTAAAGCCGAATTTCCGAAAATGGATTTGGCATACTTTTATCGGTTTAAATCGAAAACGCCGAACCAAAAAACTGACCTTTTTCGGTTAAAACCGAATTTCCGAGAATGGATTCGGCGTACCTTTATCGGTTTAAACCGAAAAATCCGAACCCTAGTTATAAGCGAGCCTTTCTTATAGGTATTATGCGCATTTGACCTCGGAAATACCGCAAAACCTTCGCTCTTGTGAAATGTGGTTCAGGGGTCACCACATAGATGGCGCCAGTGTGCCAGTGTGTTCTCTCGCTCTAAGAAATTTCAAGAGATTTGAACAAGTCTCGTCTCTTTCGGTCGTATTCGGTTGCAAGGGTGTGAACGGGGCTTGAGATGGTCATGTGACACCAACTATGTGACAACCACATCACATGGCTTCAGTGACGTGATACTATGTCACGCAACTTAAGGACAAATGGCTACAAAAAAAAAAGGGGGAGATGTTTGTCACTTTTGATGGTCAAGAATGCTTTTCGAGAACATTTTGCTTTACCTTCTTATGTTGGCGTCCATTGTGTTGAAAGATTGTTGGTACTGCAGTGGTCTTTAGCCTCGTCCAGCCATCGAATATTCTACGTAGATACATGGATTCTTCGAAATGGGCCTGTGCATTGACACCACATAAGAAAAAGAAAGGATACATTTCACTAACACAGACGTCTACACCAGCAGGGATTTGAAAATAACTGTAACATGTTCTAGCGAGCTATGTCAGTGCTGACGGTACACTATTACAGGATGGCACTTTTCTTAATTAACAGCACAGCCAAAGCTTTAATGGCCATCAATATTTTGGTTATAAAGGCTCATCAAGTGTGCTTTAAGATATGAAAAAGGCACAGCAATGTGAAAAGACAATGGAGTTGTTGGCACCTGGTTGTAGACACCAACCAATAGGTGTCTCCCCACTAATACACTTTCTGTAAGATAATGACGACTCGGCCATTCATTTGTTTTCTATCTCTGCAGAATTATTTTCTATGTCTTTGAAAAGTGTATGTGATATGGCAGGTCCTGGTATGAGCACGTAGCTTTAATGAGGGTTTAGTGCTATTGTACTGCCGAACGTTTATGAATAAGCAACAAGGAAAGTCACTGACACCAAGACCACATAGATTCCTTAATTTCACAAGGAGAAGTAAACCTTCAATTGATGGGCAGAATACTAGCACCTATTTAATGTCACTGACTACCAGCCGTTTGCTTATACTGCTCTATCCCATCAATAAATTAAATGCTTTCTTTACACAAACTGTAACTCACACTGCTTCGAAACAGTGCCAGCTCTGTGGCAAGTGCTAAACCTGCTTTAGGAGCAGCACTACAAAGTGTTAAACTGCTTTTGCACTGAACTGCAAGTATGATTCAAGCAGCCAGGCATATGGAACCTTTAATAACTGGAGAAGGTCAGTGTATACGCTATCAGAGAGCAGTCACAAAATGACGGAAAATTTGAAAGAAAGTTAGGGCTACATGCTGCAACCTTTTAGCGTGGTACACAGACACACCCGATGTCAAGCAATCAGAGAGGCTCTGCATCAAAGTCGTATTATTCTAAGAGCAGACAAAATCTATAGGTCAAGAGGGTTATTACCAAAGAGAGGCACCTTGCGGCACAGTACTGACAGTGCCAACGTTAATAGAAGCAGCTGAACTAACTCTCAGCACACTGTGATGTTTCTGAGAATAAGCAAGCAGCAAGCATTGATCTTAACTGTTTCATGCAATAGACTGTATCGAGGATGACCAAACGATGACCAGCGAACGAAGCACAGCCGGCGAACTGATAACCAGTGAACGAAATGAAGCTAGTAATCTAAAAACACGTTGACAAAATGTCGCAAGAGCATGTGTTCACGAGGAGTTTTTATGAAGGCTGTGGCTAGGGTTCCGTCCAGATGGAACAACTGCCACCACTAAAGTTCCATCCAGACGGAACCGGTAGTCACCGCTAAAATTCCGTTCAGACGGAAAGTTAGCAAACCCTGTAGAGTTCTGTCCAGAAGGAAGACACACCACTGAGGCTCCGTCCAGCATACACGGGGGTTGATCCCCATATGCTCCACCCCTGATCCATTTCTGGAGTAACAACTAGCAATGCTCCTGTGTTAATTCTAATTTAGTTTTTTTCAAGTTAAATTCACTTGTGCCAGCAATCCTATAACATTTCTACTGTTTCATTAAAAACAGCTTGTCCAACCTTTGCAAACCATGCATCTCCGGCCTTTATTACCTCACATACCCATTGAAAATCTCCTTTTATGCAAATGTTTTTTTTTTTTTTTTCGTTTTTTTTTTTTAGAGTTTGTAATTATTGGGAGTCAGATACAATGAATGTGGTGGATAACATTTTCAAAGCTTTATTTAAGAATGACAACCATTCTAATGCAAGTCCTGAGGCTGGGTGCATTGTCGTAATGAAGAAACACACCCTGTCTCCCCTTCCCACGACATTTCTCCTCGATTGCAGTGCATAATTTTGTAATTAGGTTGTGTAATATTGTGGCTCCACCTTGTAAATCATCACAAGAAAAAACACCCTTCGCATCCTAAAATATTGACCGATAGGTTGCTACTGTTCCTATAGATTGGACATGAAAAGGTACAATACTCTCTGCTGGGCTAGCTCTCGGGACGGAACAAAATTGCTGCCGTTCCGTCTGGACAGAACTCTGCGGGGCCTGCTATCGTTTCGTCTGGACGGAACTCTGCTAGGCCTGCCATCGTTCCGTCTGGATGGAACTCTACTGCGTCTGCTACTGTTCCGTTTTGATGGAACTCTAGACACTCCGTTTCAACGCAAACGTCACCGTTACACGGAATGTGTCAATTAAAAGTTGTCTACAAAATGTGTTACACTTCCAAAGAGTGAAGGCATGTTCACATTCTTGCAACCGAGCATGACTGAGAGAGACGAGACCTATTCAAACCTCTTAAAATTTCTTAGGACGAGGGAACACACTGGCATTCTGGCGCCATCTATGTGGAGACCCTGGAACTGCATTTCACAAGAGTGAAAGTTTTGGGGGATTTCCAAGGTCAAATGTGGGTAATACCTATAAGGAAGGCTTGTTTACAACATTGACAAAAGTTTTTCGAACCAAGAAAGAATGAATAATGCATGAAAGAAATACAAAATGTGCCAGACCGCCAAGTTTGCACTGCTACCCAATAGATGGCGCCAGGGTGTCGTTTCAAGCAGAGCCGTGTATACAGAGAGTTTGGTCAATGGGAGGCGCGGGCAGAGCCACGGCGTGTGCCAGATTCGGAAAGAGGGTTTGGCATGCTCTCTTGAGCAACCAGAAACCGAAATAAATCTCCTAGCGGTGGTAGCGAGAAACAGTTCTGATCAAATGTATATGTTCGTAAATGGTTTTATTAAGCGCGTAAGAGTGAAGTGTAGTAATTAACTCTTTGTGGTTGAAAATAGGGTGCACGTGTTGTTTTGATCATGATCATGCAAAAAGATGCAAGAAACGAATACGCCGCTCAACTCTGTTTTGCTCGGACAGAGTGTGACCACTCGGACGGCAAACTCTTGGCCTTCGGAGCTTGGCGTAAGGATTATGTCAATCGTTCTGCTAGTCGCGCTCTTCCACCATCATTTTGGATGAACGTGATTAAAACATGACATGTACCATATTTTCAGTCACCGAGAGTTACTCCGATGAACTTATCAGGTTTGTTTCTCGCGACCACGCCAGGGTATTATTTCCGGCTTCTGGTTGGTCACATTCAAATTTCTGAAGACGCCCTGGAACACGCCCAGCCCGCTTTCGGCCAATGGCGCCTCTTCATTTGTCTCCTATACTTCCCAATGAATGGCCAAACTCTCTACATATATGGCTCTGGTTTCAAGTAGGGTGCCTACATGTCTGTCTGTCCAAGGGTGAAGACATCCGTTGTTGCCCTGAATATGCCTGCGCGTGATGCTCTCGCACACTCGATGAGTGACTTGGGCGGTAAAATGGCGTCTATGCATTAGCCAAAGCTACGCGCTCGAGCTGAGTGACACCAGATTGCGAACGCTTCAAAATGCATAAAGAACGATTGGGCGAAAAAATGGCTGAGATGTCACCACTCAAGCAAAAGCGTGCGTGTGTATGAAGCAAGGAGGTTAGAAGTACTAGGAGAGGGCACGTTGCAATATTAGTGAAGCCTAGTCATAAAAAGATCAAACGATGTTGTGGCCAACGGGACCGTAGATCTCTCTGGCTATTGGTGCGCGTGACGTGTCATGTGTGAGATGGATGGTTGATCGTAGAAGGACTCCTTGCAGGCTTGGACACGCTCCGTCCAGTAGGTTTTGTCAGATCGAATGCTAGCCTGTGGTGTATCCTAGTACCCGATAGCTAGATGAAGGCTAGCTATGGTCACGTGATGTGGTCACGTTGGCGTGGTAAGTGAGGAGAGTAAGGAGGAAAATGAGAAAGAGGCGAGGCATCTAGGGAGCATGGCTTGTGGAGGCTACACGGCTGTCGTCATGCCCTCTCATGCCCTCTCCTACGCTTCTATCCTTCTTGGTATGAAGGCACTCTAGTTTCAAGAGTGTGAACGGGCCTGATCTGAGCTGTCTCAGCCTGCTTCAGGCAGGGGCGAGATGTTCTCCAGATAACTGAAAAAAAAAAAAAAAATAATAATAAACTGCTTTTTTTTTTTCTTTAATTTTCAGTCTGCATGTTTACAAATGCATTGCAGGTGGAGCAGCGACCGTGTCTCCTACCAGCCGATGTCAGAATGGAATACTTCACATTCGGCCCAAATGTTAGACGACAAAAATCCTAACATTTTTTTGCAAAACATGTTAGCTTTTGGCACTCTTCTATAGTTTGAACAGGCGAAATCCTGCGTTATGCATGCCTGAACACAACCTCCGTCCGAATATCGTTTGTGAACTATCAGTAGCATCGTCGTAGAAACGGAAACACGTAACCGGCACTCGCGATGATCACCTGTGAAAGCTAAGTGTAAATGACTTGCAGAAAAATCATTTAAAATAAATGGCACAGAAAGGTTAATGCTAGCCAGGCACGGCAGAGAAATGGACCCAGCCTCACCTCGCAGAGGTAAGCGTGCTTAGGGGGGATCCAGTCCGCGCCGCGGTTGATTTTCTCTACCCACTCCTTCCTCCTCTTGGGACATTTTGGTAGCTTAAACATCCGCAATCCTCGCGATCCAACAACAGTAGTGTTCCTGCATCCTGGGGCGCAGCAGCCGCCCATGTTTCGTTTAGTACTAATCCCGATCTTTTATCGAATCCGAACATTGGACGAAGCGCGTCGGCGCGTCTTCGACTCCTACGCTCATGCCTACGCTGCCCGCCGATACATAAAAAATGGTCCCGAAGTGGCAACAAATGACGTCACAGAAGCAGAAGTGTCATCTTGTTGCATGTCGCGATCTTGGCGGATAATCATAAAATCTGCAAGCAAAAAGAAAAAAAAAAACTTGAATAAATTTGATCAATTTGCAAATTGGATTGGATTGGTTTGTGTTCAGCCGCTTCGTCGAAATCGACGAAATGCGATAAATTAAACAAGGTTCTGCTCAAGAACTCAAGTAACACGACAGTTAATTTAAAATTTACAATACTGTTACAATTGTTTAGTACAAAATTAAATATATAAAACATTTACGAAACAGTTATAGTTTTAAAAATCTAGTAAAATTCCCCCAGCGACGCCTAGTGCGTCTACTACTGACTAGGTATCGCTGGCAGCCGTCCAATTTAAAGGGAGGCAATAATTTCTCAGAGCCGTGTATATCCACCCATTTATCCGGCTCGCCATAAAAGTGATAAAAGGAGGAAAGCGTGAAAAGCCGGTAAGTTTGGAATTCGAATGCGCCAACTGTCATTGAACTGTCCCGGGGAATGCTTTAACAACAGTGGAACATTCGGCGATCTTGACAGCGGTGCAGGTGAGTTATGTACAAGAAGTCATTTAAAACTATTATGATCTGGCCCGCTTTGGTCGGTGATTCGAAATGTTACGAACCCTTCAACTGTGATTTGTGCCAGCATCTCTTGTGTCAAGTAATTTCATCCTGTCTGTAGCATTCATCATTTTAACGGAGAGTGCTGGTTGGTAGTTCGACGGTAGTGTATGCCCTTTTACGTGTCGTCTTCCTCCTTCCTTAGCTGTTTATGATGCGTTTTTGTTTAACGCTTAACCGTCATTGTCTGTTGCTGTTTAGCTACGTCATGGCTCCAACTTCCTCCAAGCTTTCCCTTGCCGCCCAATTTGACGATTATTGCCGACAGTCCGTCCAGAAAAGCAACATCGAGACAGGTAAGAAATAAAAGCTACTACATAAAAAAAAAAGTTGTGGCAAATTTGTGCACTTTTGTCAACCTCCAGTCATCTCAGTGACGGCAGAATAGAAAAAAAAAAAGGGGGGGGGGGGTGCAACCCTTCCCCCCCCCCCCCCTCCTTTTCACATACTCCGAGTAAATGCGTAAATGCTTTTATTTAAAGGGACCATGAAATGATCTTTTTACTTTTGCCAAATAACTTTGCATTTAACCTTCGACGTTCATTGAATGCTGAACAGGCATCCGTTTTCATTTTGGTTTATGAACTTCTACATGAAAAATTGTTGAGATAACAAGTTTTTCTTCCTCCAACTCGCTGCAAAGGCCCGCTTCAGATGGGGCAATTTCTCCCAGTAACTTGACGTCGCAACACGTGTTGCCAGCGTTCACACGCAGCAACCAATTGCTGCAGTTTGCTATCGTCATCATTTAATTTTATTTTTCTTGCACTATTTAGACACAGTTACATGCTATGAACAGGTTTTTATAGACCAACACGCTGTTTACAAACAAGCCCGCATTTGCCCACACAAGGTGCGGGCACTGCGTGTGCGCAAAAACCAAATTTGGGAGGAGTGAAGCGTCTGCGCATGCGCAGTGCCGTCGACAGCGCCGCCGCATCTGCGTGACGCCAGGGCCGCGTGTTGGTCTATACATTTAGATGGCGTTGAGAATACTAGCTCATCTTTCTGAAACGGTTTATTTACAGAAACAATCAATTTCAAGCCAGAACCAAGTTTTTCATTGTCGTCACCGGCATGGGGTATCGCATGAAAATAGCTTGTTCCTGATTGGCTGCTGCCGCTTCAAATGCCTTCGAATTGCTCCGAATCGCTCGCCTGTTTTGAGCCGGACCCAATCTCAGCAATTCGTGTTGATCTAGGGAAAGTTAGGGAACAACCTGCCAGCAACCCCAAAATTGCTGAGAAAGTTGCCCTGTCTGAAGCTTGCCAAAACAAGCCATGACCTAATTTTGACAGTTCTGACGTGCTCTGTCACCGGAACTGGAAGTTCTCTCGGCAGTAGGAGAATGGGAGCGTTAGCAGCGAGCTGGCGGTGTGCCGGTAGGTTTTACCACAGAGTTTTGCTGCGCTAATGGCGCCGATGCCATCGACATATTTTCTGAATCGGCGCCTCTCATTACCACGATAGCCATGGACACACCACAGCTCAGCGAAATTCAATTAGATATGTTGCGCTACAGCGAAAGCATGGGACTGGTCCCATACTCCGGTACACCTGTTGGAAAGTGCGGCGACTCTTTCGACCAAGACTCCAGTTTCTCGTCGGAATCGGACAACAAGGGGTGGCGACTCTAATGTACGGAATGTTTGGAGTATACACGGATGACCTTACACCTGGGGTCTCTCAAACCGATGAGCTGCACCAAGTGCTTTGATGTGGTTCCTTGAGTGGCAAGCGGTGAAACTGCAGCCGTTTCTTTTTAAGCTCCAGACTGCACAAGCTGTAGTTCAAGCACTTGCAACGAGCGTGTTATTCGTCTGTTGTGACCGGAACGAATGGAACAACCGCTCTGCGCCACGCATACACACTCCTGCAACCACTGCAAGAAGTGCTGCAGGTCCAAGGCACAACAGCCGCTTCTCCGACGCCGTCGGCCGTTTCTGCGGTATCGCTAAAAGGGGGACGCGCTGTCACTCACTGGCGTAGCAGAAAATGCGCAGAGTTTTTTCTATCAGCTCACGCTTTATTAACCTTTATTTATTTTTCCGGATAGGCTCGCAGGGCAGAGTGGATGAAAAGAAGAAAAGGAAAAGATGCAGTACGCCTTGTTGGACGATCACGGTTTTAAAACACGACTTCACTGATGGTATGAGTCTCGCCACGTGCTATTTCTATGGTTTCAAGAGACAATGTAATCTTAGCAGAGATATAGCGACATAGAAATATGATGTTGTGATCACATAGACGTTGCAATCGTTCAGGAATGCTAACACTAATCACTTTTCTCGGGTGATGAAAACGCGTCAAAATTCGCTTCCTTCATGCACGCCTTTAAATCCAGTACGCATCAGTAATGCCTTGACCATGAGCACACGAATGGAATGCGCTAAATAAAAATCGGGGCAATGCTCAAGGACACGAATGCTAAGAAAGCACCACTGTAGCAGAAGTAAACAAAGACAATGGCACGAGCGTTTCTGCTGTCTTGAGGGTGCCACCACAACATTGCCGCTCGAGTGTATGGACCTCCCCTTCTGGGATTTGCTGGGTTATTGCGACACATGACGAGAATTCAGTCAAAGATAGCGCTCTACGCGGAATGATGAACTTCCACCACGCCGACCACGTCAACGATCACCATCGACGACATGTTTTTCACCAGAGAGCAGGAATCTCAAAACAGCGCAGGCACCGTTTAATCTTTCTCTTGCTTTGTTTACCACACGATAGATGGCGCATAGCTCTGAGCATTATAAAATTCGTCAATTTCCGTCACATCGCTAATTATTCAATAAAATGTGGATCAGAATATTCTTTAACAAAACTTTTAAGAAACATTCGCCGGCTATTTATTGTTTATGATCGCGGTACTGGTGAGGTAGGCTCTTATCCAATAGGCTACGTGGATTCCGCTGACGTGCATTGGCTCCGTGGATGCATCGCAGGGAAAAGGCAGAGAGCTTTCGAAGAAAAGAAGGTATAAAAGAGTCTGCCTTTCTTTTAAAAATTCAATAGCAAAAACATTTTTTTTTCTTCTGCTCGTGTCTTGGTTTTCTTTTCACACCTTTTACGACGTGCAGTGGATGAAATTCGATTTCAAAATCGTTTCATGGTCCCTTTAACGAAAAAGAAAGTAAACATTAACATCAAAATATAAACATGGTTGACGGCTGTCAACGCATTTGTTCTGCGGTGGCAAAATCTGGAGGCACCAAGAGGCGAAGCCGCTCCGAGCACGACACTGCGGCGTCGGTCGCTGGGACGCCAGTCGCTCAGAGCCTTAATAGCAAATAGCTGCTTAAAGAAAATTTGTTGGTGTGGGGTTTTATAGAAACATCAAGTCGCCCATTGTCTTCTTTGTCCTTTTTTGCTTTAATCATCTTTCGACCGGCCTTCGCTGTCTTTCTTTTCTTCAACTTTTCCGTTTCTATCAGGATGTGCATCAGATCAGGATGTGCATCAGTACTGCGTGACGCCCGTTAAAGATCCCAGGCTAGTAATCGTACTAGCCTGGGTTCAGTCACCATAGCAGTGATGTGATTGCTATGCCATTTGCGCCAAAATGCTTGCCCTGCTACACCATGCTACATTTTACCAAAATGTGAGGAATTTGCGCCAACATTGCGCCAGAACTTAAGTTCACTTTAATAATACGGAATACATAACAGCTGCGGGTCTTGCTACCAGGCCGTATCAATAAGGTAGGCTTGTGCGGCTCTTCAGGACTTTCGATAATCGCCTCAAATAACATACCATTTGATTTGATTTCGTACCAAGCACTGACAGTACTCGGAAGTTTCGCAACAAGTCTCGTGTTTGTGGTCAGTTTAGCTTTGTTGAGTGCACTTCTCACCGCACACTGGTGTGCTGAAGAAGCGACGGTTGCAAACTAGTTGTCGCGGTGTTGCAGGTCTTGCTTCGGTGCAGCGCACCTGCGTGTTAAGGGGAAAAATATTCCTCCAGAGCGAGACGTGGTGCAAGCATAGGCGTAGACCTCGGGGGGGGGGGGGGGGGGGGGGGGGGGGGGGGGGCATTTAAGGGGGCAGAGCCCCCTCCCCCCCCCCCCCCAGGCTTGGGCCATCATCCTTACCGAAACGCTGTTTACATGCCATGTAACGAGCTTCTAGTAGCGGCATGTAAACAAAATAACGCCCATGTTGCCTTTATTGACAAAATACATGGGAAATGGAATCCCAGCGTGCTTTCGTTTGCTTCAATCTCCAGTTCTGGCAACAGATAACGCACACCCCCCCTCTCCTCCCCCCCCCCCCGGGAAAATGGAAAGTCTACGCTGCTGGGAGCAAGAATGTATATATGAACTCTTTTGTAGGTTTATTACAGCGAAGCTGTTATACGCTAGGGTCTAGTAAAAAATGTGTCCACACATGTCGACAGAAAACTCCTCATTGGCAGTGATGTGATTGCTGCGCCAAACTGTGCCAAAGTGCTTACCCTGCTACATCCTGCTACATTTGACCAAAATGTGAGAAATTTGCACCAACGTTGTGCCAAAACTTAATTACACTTTAATGATACTGATACCTACAGCTCAGGCCTCACTGCTCGACCGGGCCGTTACGATATGCTTATGCGAATTATCAGAACTTTTGGCTATCGTCTGAAATAAAGTACTATTCGATCGCATTTCGTGTGAAAGGCTGACAGTACTCGGAAGTTTCGCAATAATTCCCATGTTCGTCGTCTGTTCTGCTGGAGGATTAGTTAGTCTCGTTGAGTGCGCTTCTCCTCGCGCATTCGTGTACTGCAGAGAAGCGAAAACCGCAATGTAAGCATTGGGATTTTGTGTGCCTTGCTTCTTCGCAGCGCACCACTGTGCTAAGGGGAAAGCATTCCTCCAGAGCGAGACTCGACACAATTCCTGAATACTGCTTTGGCTTGTATGTATGACAGATTACGATATCCTGGCGGTACCTTTTTCCATATTGAGATTTAGCAAGGATACTTCGGTGTTGCAAGACCATTTATATGCGCTCTTTCGTATGTTTATTTATTTATTTATGCCAACTAATTTGTTTAGCTATCACTTTTATATAGATAGGAATAAATTAGAACTAAGTTGGCAGGAGCAGTGGATGGAAGCTCGGGAACTCCCTTAATAAGTTCGGTGGGATTGTTTTTAAGTTTTTGTTTACATGCCGTTTTTGTAAATTGTAAATTGCTGTTTTGTTACAACCTTTAGAACTCTAAGGAACCAGTAATTTATGGGCTCTCTATCTCTATTATTGTATTATTTCAGTGAGATTCAGTATCTAAAATAACCATTCACAGCAGTTTCTGCTGTCCTTCACCAGTCATCCTCTTGTCACCGTGTCTGGTGCTTCTCCACGCACCTAAATGCTAGCTTTGTGTTTGAGGGACTCACTCCTGCTGTGCAATTAATGCGAGCTAAGGGTTGCACGTAAGTTAGAAGGCAATGTAGAAATTGCCTTTTAGTTGGACGTGCCAACACATTGATCTTCACAATGCCTGCATTGGTACGAATAAGAATGAGGCTCCAAAAGTTATTTTGGCTGCTCCAAGAGCTGCTCCAAAATGACTCGTACCAATCACATCACTGCATCGGTCGTGGCAAGTATGAATAAATAAAAACAAAAAGAGGGGTCAAGTATAAATGAATAAAACCAAAAAGAGGGGACAACCAGCATGAGTCAGCCTTCCTTGGCATTATTAGATAGTGAGGACCTGATCCCTTGTTATCATCTCTAGGCATCGTCCTCGAGGTCGTCCTAGAAGTCATCTGAGAGGTCGTCCTAGAAGTCATCTGAGAGGTCGTCCTAGACGTCATCCTTGAGGTCGTCCCTAAAATCGTCCAAGAGGTTTACCTCTAGGCGTCATCCTAGAAGTCGCTCTAGACGTCGTCCTCGAGGGTCGTCCTCGAGGGTCGCCCTAGACGTCGTCCTCGAGGGTCGCCCTAGAAGTCGTCCTCGAGGGTCGTCCTCTAGGCGTCGTCCTCTAGGCGTCGTCCTCTAGGCGTCGTCCTCTAGGCGTCGTCCTCGAGGGTCGTCCTCGAGGGTCGTCCTCGAGGGTCGTCCTCGAGGATCGTCCTCGAGGGTCGTCCTCGAGGGTCGTCCTCGAGGGTCGTCCTCTGAGGGTCGTCCTCTGAGGGTCGTCCTCTGAGGGTCGTCCTCTGAGGGTCGTCCTCTGAGGGTCGTCCTCTGAGGGTCGTCCTCTGAGGGTCGTCCTCTGAGGGTCGTCCTCTGAGGGTCGTCCTCTGAGGGTCGTCCTCTGAGGGTCGTCCTCTGAGGGTCGTCCTCTGAGGGTCGTCCTCTGAGGGTCGCCCTCTGAGGGTCGCCCTCTGAGGGTCGCCCTCTGAGGGTCGTCCTCTGAGGGTCGTCCTCTGAGGGTCGTCCTCTGAGGGTCGTCCTCTGAGGGTCGTCCTCTGAGGGTCGTCCTCTGAGGGTCGTCCTCTGAGGGTCGTCCTCGAGGGTCGTCCTCTGAGGGTTGTCCTCGAGGGTCGTCCTCGAGGGTCGTCCTCGAGGGTCGTCCTCTAGGCGTCGTCCTAGCCGTCGTAAAGATAACAGCTTCGCTGGTCCTCGATCTTCACGTGAAGTGGAAGGGCTCTACAATTTTTTAAACAGAATAGATGGGAAAAGAATTTCATAAAATAAATTTACAATGAAGAAAAAAAAATTTTACAGCTATATTTACGGCGTGAAACAAGTTTATGTAAATCCGTTTCACAATAACTTTGCGTATTGGGGAGGCTACGGTCCCCGCGACCCAATCAGAGCGAGGCACGTGGCACCACATCACGGGAGCGTGTGTGTCACTGCGCCAAGGGACCGACTGTTGCCTGCTGGCCAAGAGTCATCAGCTGCGAAACCAACCGACTTCTGATGAATGTCCACTGCCGCAACATTGCCGTCCGCTAGAGTAGCAAGTTCTTCGGGAACAGTTCACGAGACAATTATACGCTCAATTTACCCACGAATCTGTGGCAAATGCTAATGCCAGGGCCAAGTATTGAGCGGAAGCTGGGATCGGCAAACTGCCATGGCGCTACAAAGAGAAACATGTTGGGAGCGGATTGGATGTGGCGTCACTTTTTTTTTTTTGTTTACATATAATTGAAACTCATAAAATTGTTAATATTTATTCCTTACTTTTTATTAATTCTCGATAGACAAGAGAATGCTCTAGATCAATTGCTGTGAAAAAAAAAAGAAACCTAAAACTACTTTTTTTATGCTTTTTTTTCTGAATTAAGAATTGCAGTTTTGTTACAACCCCACAGAACTTGAGGAACACATAAATATAGGTGCTCAAGATTATTGTATTTTAACATTTGTTCAGTGGGATTTCATACGTAAAATAATCATTCACGGTAGTTTGTGCTGTCTTTCATCAGTTGTCTTCTTGTTACCGCGTCTGGTGCTTCCACACGCAACTAAACAACTAGTGTTGGTTCTCCTTCTTATATTTTACATCTCTCCTCCTCACATCTACGGTGATATAAATGAAAATGAAGTGTCGTGCAGTTATGCTCCAAAAGCTCTTTTTGCTTCTCCGAAATTAACTTTGGGCTGCTCCAAGAGCTGCTTTAAAATGTCTACGACCAATCACATCACTGCCATAGTGACAGAAATTGAAGAAATATAGGAATGTTCAGGACCAATAGCATGCTTCGTACTTTTTTTGTGTGTGTACTACCGTTAGTTGCTTTATTTATTTCAATTTAATATGAACTAAAAAGGGATTATGCATTTCCTTATATAATAATTGTAGGAATGCCCATCCTTGAAGTTAGTGGGCATTTGTAGCACTACTGTCAGTGCAGCATGGCTGAGAGGATACTCTGCAGCAAAAACTTGCACCTTGAGGGGAATTTCAGAAGTTGCTAAGGATCCAAATGAATAATCATCATGGGGTACCTTAAAATGGGAGCGAACCTTTTGCTCTGAAGCATAGCTGCATCGGGCAGATTTGCTCACGATCACCTGTCTATCAGTCACACATATATGTTATATTTTTAGTCCTGTACTGCACTAGTATAATGAAAAGAAGCTGAAGAAGTTTTTAAATCTCAAAATGCTGCAAATGTTGGAGCTATGGCAAAAACAACAAATGTATTTAAATGTTATTAGTAGGGGCGACGTACTCACAAATGAAAATCTTGCCGTTGCCCCCCTGCTGCCTGTCGAGCGCAGGAGAGTCAGCATTGTACAGCTCTTGCTCACCTTTCAGCTGACTCGGAGATGTTCACGATGACGTCGCAACAGCTTCGACAGATAACAGGCCTGTGGCTCTGGGGTTTGCCTCATGCCTTGCAGCAATTCCTGTCCATTTTTCCGAGATAAAAGAGGTCTACGTTGAATTCCTCCTGATTTCAGTGCAAAAACCGAATTCAGGAGACAAAAAACTCTAATAAACTGCTCCCAACTCAGTCTTTTTTTTTTTTTTAACAGCACATACTTTAGCTTGTTTTCATGCTTCACTTGTCACCTGTTTGTCATAAACCGCCTCCGTCCTTTTGCCCGCAGAGTTCCTTGCCTTTGTGAAAAACCAGGAAGAGTGCCGCAAGCGGTGGCATGCTACAGAACTTGACAATGCTCGGCTCAGAACGGAGCTGGAAGCTCTCAAGGGTGCTCATCTGGAGCTTGAGCGCAGACTGGCTTACACCAGGTAAAACATGGGTGCTTAAAGAGGGTTCCTAGCAATTCGAGGATTCTTCAGAATACCTTCGAGGGTTCTCCTAAATTTCCTCGACCATCCTTTCTACTTCATAGTGTTGTTATTCGCGAGGTCTGCAAGCTTCTGCGCTGCTTTATGGCATCAGCGCCAAGACCCAAAGGGGTCCCCTGTCTGCCATTAGAGGCAGATAGGTGTTCCTCGAGAACCCCTGAGGCGAAAGATGCTTGCCTCTCCTAATTTCCACGGTTGTTAATCCTTTAGCAATGATGTTTCAAGCTGCGAAATCGCTCCCTTCTGCAGTAATCTTGCTGACAATTTAGGCTGCCAGAGATATGACAGTAGCTATTTTATCGCGCAAGTTGAAGGAAGGTAGCCTTAGCCTTGAGCAATCAGGTGATTGACTCATTCAATGGCATACAGTTCAGTGCAGTGCAGTCAAGTATGGTTGCGAGCCACTTCCCCTTGTGGTATCGGAGAACTTCTGTCTGTAAAGGCCTCAATATATTGCTAGTGCAAAATGTCATTTTTTCTTAAACATTCCTCATTTGTTTATATATTTTCTGCAGTGATCTCTTAATTGTGAATAGGAAAGAAACTAAAAAAAAATTGGTTGTGCTAACATATATTATTCATACAAGGGGTCCAATAGCCAGTTTATTCTGTATATATTCCAAAAAGCGGTATTTTGATAGACATACGACTAATAGAATTATGGACTTGATATTTTGTAAATTTTCCAAGTGCCAGTTTTCGAAATAAAGTCACCGTAAAAGTGTACAAGTTTGCAGGCAACCATAGTTTAAAGAACTTGCTAGTTGTACCTGGGAACTCTGGTGAGCCTTTTGGGAAGAACAGTAGCTGTTTTTGGAACCTTCGCAGTTTAGTGGCAATCCCAGACTTCTCCCCAATTTTTCAGAAGATTGACATATGCGGACCCGTGTCTTCTTTTATTCCCTTTTTATTCAGGGAGGTTTTGGAGAAAGAAGTGCAGCGCAGAGAACGCAGCGAAGAGGAGAAAGAGGCCAAGGTGAGTGCGTTAGCTAAAGCATGTTTACCAATGACAAACAAGCACGTTGCAGTGCCATGCCCCGGCCGAAGGGTTGGCTCAGATTGGCTTGGCCAAGGGCCAATACATCCCCCTTTCTTTATTGAAAAAATAAAAATTAATAATGCAAAAACATGCATTTGTAGAAGCCACTCCGTTCGTTTGATGTTGCAACGTTGCACCTCTTGCCGGAAATTCTCGTAAGTCGAGCAGCATGGTAGCCGCACCTGTCGGGATGCTCGCCTGGGGAGAGGTGATGATGGTGGCGATCCAGGGTTTAGACCAGTGGTACTGCTGGTCCTGTTGTAGTCTTAAGCTGCCAATCAAGGTGGTGTGGCAGGAGGCAGGCGGCAGACCTTCATCGTTGGCATCGGATTCCTTTCAGTCAACCTTGTCCGAGGAAGTATGCTACTCTTGCGTTTTCAGAAGGTGCCAACGATTCCAGTGCATTTCTTGACCCTGTTCTGTGCAAACTCAATACGACCTCGGTCTCTCGCCGCGCACAACCCACGCTTTTATGTCCATGATCCATTCGAAAACCGATTATTTCCTTAACTAAGGCTCGAAGCATGGTTGGTTTTGCTCATAAATTAGGAAGGAACTTGCCGAAGTAGTTAAGTGCTCCTAAAAGCCGTTGAACCTCGTCCTTGTTTGTTGGGAGTGGCATTTCATGGAAGGCACTGCACTAGCTTAGGATTGGGCTTGACACCCTTCCAACTGATCTTGTCTCCTAGGTAGCGTATCTCATTTACTCCAAACCTACATTTTTCAGCTTTCAGTATGATGCCACCTAACTTTGTAGCTCTCAATGCTGCTCTTGGCCGTGAATCATGTTCTTCGTGTGAAGACCTCCACACGAGAATGTCAATCATGTAAACTCGGACATATGGGAGATCATCGAAGATTTGGCTCGTGGCTTTCCGGAAAACTTCAGGCGCCAAAGCAATACTGAAAGGAAGCCTTAGATAGCGGTAGCACCCAAAAGGTGTTGCGAATGTGCAGATCTGGGATGTAGAGTTGTCAAGCTGGATTTAGTGAAACCCGCTATTGGCATCTAGCTTGCTGAAACGTTTTGCGTCAGCCAGCTCCGCTTCAATATCTTCCCTGCGTGGCAACTGAAAATGTTCCCTTTTTCAAGGCAGTATTTACGTGCTTGGGGTCATACATCTTCCCACTCTTCTTTTGTGCCACCGCCAAATGGCTTACCCAATCGGTTGGCTCCTGGACTTTCTCAGTGATGCCGCCGGCGACCATCCAATCTAGCTCGGTCTTCAAGGGGTCCCGGAGAGCATGAGTAGGGCACATTGTTGGGCTAGTTGGTTCATCTTAGTGAAACATATAAAATAGCGCAAAAAAGACAAGGGCAAGAAGCATACAGGACGAGCGCTAACTTTCAACTAGTTTTACTGAGGAAAAGCAAGCATATATATACACACGACAGGCAAAGCAGCACCACATAAAAGTTTATTGATTTTGTACCCTATCATTCAAAAACTGAAATTCATTAGTATGAAGTACAATAGAAGTGTTGCTGACACATGCCGTCCCACTTTTTTTTGATAAAGAGTGCTTTCAATAGCTCTCGAACGACCGTCTCTCGACTTCTCCCCAGAATCCTTACCTGCTGAAGTCGCGGACCACAGTTACACGTGTTGCAGTGTATAGGCAAATGCGAGCCATATTTATTTTTTACTGATAATGCGTGCTCCCGCGCTCGGTCATTGATGCACCGCCCCGCCTTGGTGATGTATACCTTACCGCAACTCAGTGGGATTTCGTAGACCACATCCACTGTGCAGCTCATGTAAGGGGTGACGTGTTTCTTATCACATGGCGCTTTTGCCTTGTCGTCAGAAATGCGGGAGCACAACCCAGCCAACTTCTTTGCGGCAGAGAACACAACGGGAACATCATACTTGCTTGCAAGTTTCTTCAGATTGTGGGCAACCTTGTGGATGTACGGAATAACTTCTGGTCTTTTTGTTTTCTGCCTTGTTGCGACCTTCCTTTTCAACCCCTTCATTTTTTGTAGGGCGATCTCCGCCACAGAAACCAAGACCGAACATGGGAAGCTAGCCAATTCCAGTCTAGAAATCTGATATTTAAAGCTAGCATCCGCCTGGTGGTCACAGGACTTCAGCAGTGCAGACTCCAAGCATGAAGTTGCAATAGCAATAAGGCATATTTATCTTTTACATACAGATTTTTGTTATCATTACATTCTAGATATAAAAGGTCATTAATGTTTATAGTGTAATGAACAACAGCTTTTTTCTTTTTAATCTGAAATAAGATTTACAGTTTTATTTCAACTTTTAGAGATTCAATAAAACATAAATTTGAGTGCTCAAAGATATTCTATCGTAACATTATGTCAGTGGAATCTACAACTAAAAGGCTAGTTCAGTGTTCCAGGGGGAAGCAAACCTGCCGTGCAATTGATGCTACATACCTGCCAAGTCTCCGGTATTGCCCGGAAGACTCCCGAATTTTGACCAGTTTGTACGGTTGTACGATTGACAGAAAAATATCCTGGAAAATGCAAGTTACCCCGCCTCCCCACCCTCTTGCACCTTAAAAGGTGTTTTTGCTGTCGCAACAGACGGCTGCAATAATAGAGAAGTCAATCTGTGTCTCTTTAGTTTGAGCAGTTCAATATAAATGTAATAAAGTTGTCTTTATGTAAATTTGTTGTCAATATTTATTTTTGCAACACCGGACCCCAACCCCTTGTTCAGAAATTTTGCTCAATTTGGTTTCTCGAACTTGGCAGGTATGATGCTAACAATTACATAGAAGTGGGAAGGCAAAGTAGACATTGCCTTTTATTTTGATAGTATAGCATATCATCATCATCATCATTTATTTTCCTTGAGGGCCCCAGGGGGCATTATACAAGGGAGTGAACACACTAAAAACATCAACAAAAATAGTTAATAAAAACACACTGTAATCTATACTTGTATTTCAGAAAGAAAGAGGTTAACGGCTGCAGCAAACTTGTTAGTATCAGTCATGTTTACAATGAGGTCAGGTAATGAGTTCCAATCGTCAATAGCAGATGGTAAAGTCGACATTTTATAGGAGACAGATGACGAAGTAATTGAGCGCAGTTTACATGAGTGGTCAAAACGAGGGAAAATACGGTAGGGAGGTGATAGTAGAGAATCTTTTAGATGGTTGTTGTGGTAAAAGATTTTGTGAAGAAGAGTGAGACGTGACACCCTTCGACGTAAGGAAAGTAAGTCAAGGTTAGCTGATTTGCGTAATCCTGATATGCTAGTGTATGGGGAGTAGTCAGAGTAAATAAAACGAAGACCTCTGTTTTGAACGGATTCAAGGTTGTTAGTTAGATATGATTGCCATGGTGACCATATGGATGAAGCAAATTCAAGTTTAGATCTGACCAAGGTCGTATAAGCTAGTAGTTTTACTGAAGGTGTAGCTAGTCTGAGGTTACGGCGAAGAAATCCGAGAGTACGGTTAGCATCGGCAGTGACAGCATTTATGTGAGTAGTCCATGACAGATCAGAGGTCAGGTGAACGCCTAGGTATTTATATGAGGAACAGGTAGCTACTGGGATAGTGGAAAGGTGATAAGAAAAGGATGAAACATGTGAACTGCGGGTGAATGATAGAGATTTACATTTATTAAAGTTTAAAGTCATTTGCCATTTGTGGCACCACTGAGTTATAAGTGCGAGGTCATTCTGCAAAATTTGATTATCGTGGTTTGAATTAATAGGTCTATAAATTACACAGTCGTCGGCGAAGAGACGTATTGAAGAGGAGATGTTGAGGTAGAGATCATTAATGTATATTAAAAATAGAAGGGGGCCAAGAACGGTTCCCTGGGGGACGCCGGAGGTTACAGTGCAGGTGGTAGATTTGGTGTTGTTAATAGATGAGTACTGGGTGCGATTTGTGAGGAATTCGGAGATCCATTTGACGACTGAGGGATGGATATTAATATTTCTAAGCTTCAGTAAGAGACGTTGATGAGGGACCCTGTCAAATGCCTTGGAGAAATCAATAAATATGGCGTCAGTTTGCTTATTAGAATCAAAGTTTGAGTAAACGTCAGTAAGAAAAGCTGTTAGTTGCGTTTCGCATGAGTATGACTTGCGAAAGCCGTGCTGATGCTCGAAAAGAAGGCTGTGGGAGTCTAGAAAGTTTATTATGTTAGAATAGAGTATATGCTCTAAGAGTTTAGACGACACACTGGTGAGCGAGATCGGGCGATAGTTGTTGATTAGTTGGCGATCACCTGCTTTGTAAACGGGGATGACGTTAGCGATTTTCCAATCGCATGGAATTTCAGAAAGTTGAAGAGACTGCGAGAAAATGTCGCAGAGGAAAGTTGAAGAGACGTGTTTAGTATTTATTAATATTTTCGAGTTTATTTGGTCGTCGCCAGAGCTAGAAGACACCTTCAGCTGATCAATGGCCTTCAGTACACCAGAGCGGTCGATCATGATAGGATTCATAGGAGGATGAAGGGGTTGGCACAAGTTGGGCATACTTGACAAGTCTTCATTGGTAAAGATCGAGCTAAAAAAGTTGTTAGTTTCAAGAGCACTATGTTCGTCAGAAAGTGGAAGGCCGTACTCGTCAACGAATTGTAATGGAAGAGAGAGTGCTGGGTTAATTACTTTCCAAAACTTTTTAGGTTTATTGGTTAAAATGTTGGGGAGGTCATGAGTATAAAATTTGGATTTGGCATCATGAATCGCGGATTTGTAGGCCCTAGCGCATTCGTGATAGGCGTTCCAAGATGCGTTAGTGTTATGAGCCTTTGCCCTCGTATAAGCTCTTTTTTTCCTGTTGGAGTGACAATGAACTGTTTTATCGTACCAAGGGTTAGTGTTATCGGATATGATTCGAGTGAGTGGAACGAAACGTTTGATTAGGGATGTTAGTCTATCTTTGAAAAGAATCCAGTTTTCATTGACCGTCCTTTCTTCGAAGTTTACTGAGAATAT